CAGCAGGTGACACACAAGCCAAAACAAACCAAACAAAACTGCAGAAAAACTCTGTGATATTCTGTGAACCACATACTCACCTCCAGTTTGCATTTTCTCTTTCTCTTTTTGTGTGTGCATAAAAGCACAGCAAGACCCAGGACAGTTTAGCTTCGTTTGTGTCACATAATAACGGTGAGACTATGTTTGTGTTTAATACCCTCTTTTTGCCAGATTATCTACTGTGTACTCCTCAGGACAAAGATACAAGATGTTCTGTGAAAGACTGATGTAAAATGTGACATGCTCTTAAAAAACTCTTAAAAAAGATGGTTCTACAAGGTTCTTCAGTAAAGAAAATGGTTCTACATAGAACCATGAACGCTCAAAGTACTCAGAGGGTTCTGTGCATCGTGAAAGAGTTCCTCAGACTGATGGAGAATGCGTTGCAGATGGTTCTACATAGAACCTTTTCAAAAAGGGTTCTATATAGCACCAAAAAGGGTTCTTCCTCTGTAACAAGCCTGAGATTTTAACAACAGAAGAAGTTTTGGTTGGAAAGAAAAGGGTTAACATCTTGAGACGCCCAAGAGAAAATTGTCCAATCAGGATTGTTTTCTCTGTGGTATCAACCAATCACACTTTGATTCACAATGAAACCCATCTAGTGATTCTTTAAAGAACCTATTTCAAATATTATACAATACAATATATGCAATTTTATATATAACCATTACTGTACTAAAGAACCCTTCATGAACCATTTTAAGTTTACACTCTTAAAAATGATGGTTCATCAAGGGTTCCTTAGTAAGGAAAAGGGTTCTAAACAGAACCATAAACACTCTAAGAACCATTTCACCAAGCAAAGAATCATTTAAGCATGCAAACATTTTGACATGGACCTCAAGGTGCTGAATAAAACCACTGTCTTTACTAAAGAACCCTCGAAGATCTTTTTTTAAGAGTATTGTATACAATAGAAGAAACTTTTTGGTGTTATATATAACCATATACAACACATTCTCCATCGATCTGAAGAACCATTTCACCATGCATATGGTTCTATATGGAACTTATGGTTCTGAATAGAACCATTGTCTTTACTAAAGAACCCTTGAAGAACTATTATTTTCAAGAGTGTTGTATACAATAGAAGGTAGAACCTTACAATACAATACAATACAATAGAACCTTTTTGGTACTATATAGAACCATATACAACTCATTTTCCATCAATATGAAGAGCCATTTCACCATGCAAAGAACCATTTAAACATACAAAGCGTTCTTTGAGTGCTCATGGTTCTTGTAGTATTTATTGCCTTTACTAAAGAACCCTTGAAGAACCATCCTTTTAAAGAGCTAGCTATAGCCTGTTTATCAGTGTCAGGCAGTTTCTGATTGGCATTTAAAAATGTGCTGCATGATTCTATGTAAATGGACAGTTTTGGATGCAGGATCTCAGCTGCTGCTGTTCCTTCTTTTGAAGAGCTAATCGATGTAAAATGGTCAGAAATTGCCCACAATTTAAACACGCCGACTCAAAGCATAAGTATAATAGTTTCAGCATCTGCCCACTGACTTGTTATAGGTGAGTTTCGACTCAACCGGCTTTCTGTTCTTTTATTAAACTCAGGAGAACGTGCTGAAATTATTGTCCTTGGTAATCGACCGTATGCTATAAACACAGCAGGACTGAGCTCATTCTGACCAATGCTGGACTGTCCCTTTAAGGCTGCAGTGTCATTAGGTGTTATCAGCCCTTCCTCACTCAGATCTGGCCACTGTTCTCTAAAGGCTCATTTTTATTCACACTGTGGTAGGAGGCGAAATATAGGACTCTAATTTAGCACTGTGACCTACATTCAGATCAGCGTGAGCCGGGGCCAGAAACGTGATGATGCTTGTTCAGAACAGACTCCCTAATGTGCTCCAGAATGTTTGCTCTCTTCTTTTATTTATTCATTTATTTTTTTATATGGACTTAATTTAGGTGGCACGTCAAACGCACGTCAGTTCCTTTCCTGCTGTCATCAGGTCCAAAAGTATCCAGATACTCCTTGTGTTGGTGAATTCAGCCACTTTAAAGAGGAACTCAACTCATTTTCCAAAATTCAATATATTTAAATGACTTGGTTGAGATATAAACACAGCAATTCAGAGCAGTTTGGTGTGAAATGCTCTGTTCTAGAGTCAGAATTGTTCATAGTGGTGGTGATAGGAACCAGATGTCCACCTCTAAAAGCTCCCTCACAAGCTATTACATGAAAGGGTTATGAATACACTGCCTGTCTGTGTTCAGAAGATTTAGGCCTTTAAAATCTATCCATTGTGGAGGGATATGTGCAGGGTGTTGTGAGGCAAAATAGTCTGCAAAGAAAACTTATTATTATTTTAGATTTTCCACTATTTTACCATAATCAACATTCCATATAAAACTCAGTACATTCTTAAAACAGATGCTTCCTCAAGGGTTCTTTAGTAAAGAAAATGGTTCTAAATTGAACCATGAACACACAAAGAACCATTTGCATGCTTGAAGAGTTCTTTGCATGGTGAAATTGTTCTTCAGATCGATGGAGAATGTGTTGAATATGGTTCTATATAGAACCTTTTTGAAAATGGTTCTACATGGCAACAAAAAGGGTTCTGCTATTATTACTATGTCAAGCTTGCAACAGTGGAACAATCCTTTTTGGTGCTATGTAGAACCATATACAACACATTCTCCATCAATCTGAAAAAAAAACATTTTTCTTTGAGTGTTCATGGTTCTATACAGAACCATTTTCTTTACTAAGGAATGTTTGAAGTACCATCTGTTTTAAGATTGTACATGTGAGTTTTATATGGAAGGTTGATAATTGTAAAATAGTGGAAACGCGGAAATAATACATTTTCTTTGGGGACTATTTTGCCTCACAATGTCCTGCATGTATCCCTCCACAATGAACGCATCTGCTTTAAGAGTGTGGGTTCACTGGTGGTTTTGGTTAGTAAATAAAATGGCTATATTTGTGTTGTAGTCATGGTGACCCCTGGTTCCTATCACCACCACTCTAAAGAAATCTGAACCACTTCACACCAAACCACTCTGAATCACTAAGTTTACAGCTCAGCAATTGAGTTATTCAGAATGTTTGAAAAATTGGTGGAATGAGAGATGACCATGCCCATGGGCTAGAGAGATTTAGTGATTCTGGGGGTCTAGGGCAAAAACAGAATGCACATTTTTAAAGTAGTTGAGTCTCTGTGCTCTTGAGTGGCACACTGCTAGTTTTGATATTGTTGTAAGAATAGTGTTAGATTATTTAACTTATTTGTAGACATTCGTGAAATAAAGTAAAACTATCTTACTATATTGGCAAATAATTTTGCCTGTTTTATGAAAAAACGCTTTAAACAAGCAAATTATCCGCCAGTGTGGTGAGATAATTAGGTGTGGAGTAACACAGAAATAAAGTAATGAGCAGTGAGATTACTTTTTTCCAGAAAATAATAAGTAAAGTAATCCTATTACAATGCCTGAAAATAATCACTACAATAACAGCTATTTATAGTTAAGGTTATTTAATATCAACACATCTATCTAATTTGTATTTTCATAGGGCCCTTGGGTAATGGGGGCCATAGGCCATGCCTAGTGCAAAGACCACCCCTGAGTATAAAGCCCCCCAGCATTAAGCTGTGTGTTCTCTGGACTGATGGGAGCAACTTTGTAGCTAAATGCAATCAAACCCTCCTCACAGCAATGTTCCATAATGCCATCCCAGAAAAGTACAAGCTGTTACTTCAGAAAAAAGTCCCTTAATACTCCAAGAAATTCTGGTGTCTTTTGGACTAAATATTGTACACTCTTACAAAATAGTTCTTCAAGGGTTCTTTTGTAAAGACAATGTTTGTGTTTAGAACCATGAGTTATACATAGAACAATTATCATGCTTAAATGGCTCTTTGCAAGGTGAAATGGTTCTTTAGATTGAGGAAGAATGTGTTGTATATGGCTCTGTATAGAACCTTATTGTACATGGTTCTATGCAACACCAAAAAGGGTTTTTCTATTCTGTAAGATTTTGACATCTTAAGAATAGAAGAACCGTATGTAACACATTCTGCATCAATATGAAGAACCATTTCACCATGCAAAGAACCCTTTAAGCATGCAAACAGTTTTGCACTTGCATTTAAACATGAAATTGTTCTATATAGATCTCATGGTTCTGTATGTCAAGCTTGTAATAATAGAAGAACCCTTTGGGGGCTACATAGAACCTTTTTCAAAAAGGTTTTATGTAGAATCATCTACAACACATTCTCAACCATTCTGAAGCAAATAAGCATGTCAATGGTTCTGTATACACGCTTAAAAAGATGGTTCTTTAGTAAAAACAATGGCTCTATACAGAAACATAAACGCTCAATGAACTACTAGCATGCTAAAAAGGTTCTTTGCATGGTGAAATTGTTCTTCAGATTGATTGAGAATGTGTTGCATATGGTTCTATATTGCACCAAAATGGCTTTTGCTGTTGTTGCAATGTCAATCTAGTAAGAACAGAAAGTGCTATGTTCAGAGAACCATTTAAGCATGCAAATAGTTTTATATAGACCTCGTGGTTCTAAACAGAACCATTCCCTTTACTAAAGAACGCTTGAAGATCCAGCTCTGGCCAGTAGAGAGCGCGTGCGAGCAGCTTGGACTAACAGAAAAAAAAACAAAAAGGCAGTCACGGTGAGCTCCGCCCCTGCCGCATGTGCTTCAGCGTAAGCCCCGCCTCCCGCTGCCTCTCATTTGCATAAAATGTGTGTCAGTAGGGCAGCGGTCGACAGCGCTCACATGCCGCGCGCACATGCCGCGCGCCTTCAGTGCAGCCGCTTTCAATGTCAAATCAGTCCAAAGCGTCTCGCCTCCAAGGCAGCCAATGAAAACGTGAGAAAGAACACAGAGCAGAGAAAGAAAGGAGGAGGAGGATGAGGAGGGGGGGTGCACATACACTAGACACTAGAGGAGCGTGACAGTGAGAGCAAGAGGGCGTGAGTACATGAGAGAGAGAGAGAGAGAGAGAGAGAGAGAGAGAGAGAGAGAGAGAGACGAAATAATCCTTGGCACACACACACACACAAAACAAAAACAAGAGGTTGAAAGGACAGGAGGAGGAGGAAGAAGGGGGGGCAAATCGATGGCATTTGAAAACACCTGAAAGAATGTGCTCGTGCTCTTTGCTCGTGCATACAGTGAGGGACTATTAGTCAAAACAGCTCTGTGCATGTGTTGACAGCTGCCTAGTCTGGCACTAACTGGTGGTGGTGGTGGGGGTGTTTCTTTAAGGAGTTACTCTACTGTACATCAGGATGCCTCAGCTCAGACAAGTTGAAGGGAGCGAGCTGTGACGACGCTCACCTGAAGGACACCTGCGTTATTTCATCAAAAGCAAAACAAAAACAACAAACAAACAAAAATCAACTGGGACTCACCTGCATGGATGCAGGCAAATTAACTTAACGCACGTTCAGATTTCCTAACTCTGTCCAGGAGGAGCATCCTGCCAAAGCCAAAGACGCGATGGACAACAGTCCAGGTGAGTGATGCATGCACGGTTAAATGCGAGAAGCCAGTGTACGAACGAGGTGGACAGTCTTATGTCATGCGTAGGCAGTTTATCTACCGTTACATCTGTGTATGTTGTGAACAGGTAAGCAAAACTTGGAGCGTCAGTTTAGTCTCCCAGAAGTCACCCCTGAGTGAACTAGCAAGTTCATATCAGATAACGAGGCTGAAGTTGGCATCTTGTTCGAATTCCCCGTTCCACCTTAAAAGGTGCAGTAGTAACTGCAGCTCTATTTAAGGTGGAACGAGAAGTTCAAACGAGAAACTGGCGAATACGCTTCTTTTAGATGCTGAGATGCTGTTTGTTTTAATTTATGATCTTTAAAGTTCTGTCCATTTCATTTTGGCTGCCGTGGTGTCGTCACTCCCCATTCCCACAGCCACTTCCTTCCTCGCTGCATGTAAACAAACTCACGTGCGGCTCTCTGCTCCCTTTAAAGTTCCACAGCAGAGCCTTTTAAAATATTTAAGCCGAGTTTTTTTAATGTATGCAATGCTAGTTTTACCAAAATAACACTGGGTATGTTTATCCCATTCATGCCCATTATATTTAGTGCAATAAAAAAAAATGCCACCCACATTGACGGCTCTGATTGGTCTAAAGTGATAAAATTTGGTAGACTTATGCCTTAGATGGATATCTAACAGTAGCCGTTTGGTTTCTTTTGGTTCCATGTTATTTGCATATTTTAATCCAAATTAAATTTGGATGCCCAGTTGTTTTGTTGATCAATGGATTAATATAATGTGATGAAAATTCACTTTGTAGCCATTTACTTTGATGGATTGGAAGCATTTCTTCAAATCTGTGCTATGAGAACATTTCAGACATGGTGAATAGTGGGTTAAGGCGTGCTCGGCTGGTTCTGCTGGCGACCTACTGCACGTGGGTTCCACAGAGGGGCTGGGCTCTGAGTGAAATCCCTAAGCTCACTTGGCCGCTATTAAAGGTGTTTCCCTTCTGTGACCTCAAACCAGGTTGGCTTGTTTTCCTGCCTCGATTCATTAGAACCAAGTCACGCTCCTTCACCGGTGACTCCGTTTCCTTCAAGCGGTGGACACGCTTTTTTAAAACTGACCCCAGCTCCCTGCCCCTCTCCCCTCCCTTCCCTTTCTCTCACTGCACGTGTGGATTGTCAGTGACAGCACATGCTAAGCTCCAACATGTGAGAATGCTTTGATGACTACCTGGAAAGAATGGATGGACCAAGGCTGATAAACCTGATGATCTCCAAAGTTGAGGAGATCTGTTTGTGGAGGAGTCATCAACACATTTTGGCCTTTGCTGAATAATTTTAAAAGTACTTGAGCAAGATTAATGATTTTTTTATGCAAGCAACATACACATCTGCTGCAAAGATATTTTTGATTCCTGCAACTACCATTTATGAACAATTCAGCCAAAGGTGGCAGGAGTGCAAACATCTAAGGCAAAGTAAATACAATTCAATACAAATCTTTATTGAATGAACCAGACAAGCTTGGCAACCCAAATGCATAAAAATGTGTGCATGAAAATAAATACGACTTCCAAAGAATTTCAGCACAATATCAAATTTGAGAATTTGTGAACTAGAATTAACATGAATGTACACAGGGTTGATATGGAGTTCTCTGACTGTGTACTTTGGGAGTCTCAGATGTAACAGTGTGTTAAACTAACCCCCCCATTTGGAGGCTGTACTTTAGCCTGTCTAGCTCTCACTATGAGCTGTTTATCTGCTTCTAAACGCTGCTATACAGCTCACTAATCACAATCACTCAGGATGGAAAAGTTACTTTTCAGTCTTAAGGGTGAATCAGGAGAAAGACTTCGGAACCTGACTAAATTCACAACTTAGTCAAACCTGTTTAGCTACATAAAATATTCATGTTACATTTATGTTACTCTTTCTACTTTATGACATACATATCATGGTGGCAAATGGTGTCCCACAACTGTGAGGTCCTAGAAATGAGCCCAAAAAGCATGATAATTCTTTCGGAATTTGTTGTTGTTGTGCATGAACAGTCATGACTTCACAGACGCGAAAGTATTATTTTTATTGAAATCACCATTATATATATTATACATTTATACATTTATATACAAATTACATATCAGCATGTATACCCCCACACATTGCCTGATACTCTTAGGTGACACAACAATGTTTGTTTCATTTTGTGTCATCTTTTCCAGATGCAACATACAGCAGTGATATATCTGATACAGTGTCTGCTGCTGGTAGCACAAATGGATACAATGCATTCAATACATTTTGAAATGAAATATATTTAATATGTACAAAATATATATGCATGTAAATTTTTTATCCAAATGGGAAGAAACAACACAGATATATGTCCTACATGTGCAGTAAGAATTTTGGTCACCCATATGTAGCCCACGTTGCTGTAAATTCTCACTGACAACACTAACAATACAAAATACAAAAGCGTGTTAGCTTCTGGCTAGTACATTAGTCTGTGGTTGGGATATTACCTCTGGCTAGTGCAACAACTCATGGATAGAACATTAGCTTGTGGCTAGCGCCTTAGCTCATGGCTAGAACATTAGCTTGTGGCTAGTGCATTAGCTCACGATTAGCTTGTAGCTAGCGCATTAGCTCGTGGCTAGCACAATAGCTCAGGACAAGCCTGAATGGATCAGGCTAAACTTCACTGTGCCTAGTCACACTGTGTGTTAAGGATGTTGGATGCTCTAGTAAACTTAGAATGGAAAATGTAACATATTTACATAAAGCCTGCTTTCAGGAGCTGCTTATTTTTGCAACATAAGAAAAAAAGATTGAATTTAGACGCAACACACAGCTGCTACCTGCTGTCCTTTATTAACTGCGGAAAAAAAGCACAGACCATCAATGACTCAATGCCAACAATGGCTCTGTTTAGAGCCATGAGTTATGTATAGAAGCTTAAATGTCCCTTTGCATGGTTCAACTGTTTTCTGGATTGATGAAGATTATGTTGTATATGGTTCCATATAGAACCTTGTTCTATCAAAAGGGTTCTTATATTGTTACCAGCAATAAAAGATGGTTGTTCAAGGGTTCTTTAGTGAAGAAAATGGTTCTGTCCAGAACCATGAACACACAAATAACTCTTGGTATGCTTAAATGGTTCTTTGCATGGTAAAATGGTTCTTCAAATTGATAGAGAATTGAAAAGGGTTATATATAGCACCCAAAAAGGTTCTTCTAGTGTTACAAGCTTGACATTGTAACAATAGAAGAACCCTTTTTGGTGCTATATAGAACCATCTACAGCATTCTTCATCAATCTGATGAACCATTTCACCATGCAAAGAACTATTGAAGCATGGATTCTTAATAGAGCCAATGCCTTTACTAAAGAACCCTTGAAAAGCATCTTTTTCATTGTGTGTGCTGGTGTTTTCTAGCAGTGATCTGGGCATTAATGGGTTAATAACGCTCTGAGTCCCTGTATGGGGGGCTTTCAGCCCCTGTCAGCACCTGCCTCTTTCAGATTGGTGTCATTAGCTCAGGCTCAGGGTTATTAATATCACCGTTCGAGTGTCAGCAGCATATTTTCGCTCCTCGGTGGCTTGTTTTTCACATGGCAACAAAGCTTTGCCTAGGCATTGGGCACGGCAGGCGCAGCGGGGCAGCCCGCCTTCTCGCGCTTGCCTGTAGTCCCCGTCACGTGGACGAGCTCCAAACGCCACGTGCCACGCGTGATTTCCCGAGCACGCCCCCCTCCTTCCCTCCCTCCCTTCCCTCGCGCTCGTTTCTCATGCAGCTCGCGCACTCGCTTATTCCGAAAGACTCTCTTGTTTAGATCCAGCGGTCAGTGGGTCATAGACTTAGTCTAATGGAACCGAGCTGTAGGTAGAACCTGCCTCTGTTATCGTTCTGTTTAACTGTACACTCTTAAAAAGATGGTTAAGTAAAGGGAATGGTTCTACATAGAACCATTTCATGCGTAAGTGGTTCTTAGCATGCTGGAATGGTTCTTGAGATTGATGGAGAATGTGTCGTATATATCTCTATATGAAATTTGAAAGTGGTTCTATATAGCACCTTCAGTTGTATAAGCTTGACATCATATCAATAGACGAACCCTTTTTGGTGCTATATAGAACCATTTTCAAAAAGCTTCTATATAGAACCATATGTACCACATTCTCCATTGATCTGAAGAACCATTTCACCATGTAAAGATCCACTTAAGCAGGCAAATGGTCCTATATAGATCCCATGGTTCTATAAAACCACTCCTTTTACAAAACAACCTTTGAAGAACTGATGATCAAAGGGTTCTCTGCATCGTTTAAAGTGTTCTTCAGATTGATGGACTACGTGCTGTAGACGGTTCTCCTTTTATTATGATGTCAAGCTTATAACAATAGAAGAAAGCCTTTTGGTGCTATATAAGGACACTTTTCAAAAAGGTTCTATATAGAACCATAGACAGCACATTCTTCATCAATCTGAAGAAGCTTCCCTTTGTAGAACCACTTTTTATATATGTACTGTTTAAAGAAAGCCCTCAGTAACAGCAATATTATGTATTATGTGAGGTTAATTCTCAAAGACTGAGTATTCATTATACAGTATGGATCCACCCCCCACCCCCATATACATTATATTGTGGGTTTGTTGACACACAGCTTGTGTGCATTTGGCTATACATCTAAATTGCCCTTCAGTTCATCATATACACTGCCCTGAAAACTGTGTACACACTGAATCATTTACAGAACATATATTTTACCTGTGAGGAAAACACCAGCTGAAGACCAGCGTGAAGTAAGCTGTAGATATCTCAGCACTGTTAGAGCAACCTGCCCCGCTCCACATTAAGTGTACCTCATTTAAATAGCCTGCGAGGCTGATGAGGATCGACTGGAGGCAGGAACAGAGCAACAAAATTACACGATATCCTACAAAATTGCTACTATTATGCGCCATTGAATGCGCCGTTTAATGAGCTGCGCTTCCAGATAAAGTAATACTGCCCTACTTTCTCACAGCGGCTCCTGGCTCTCCACACGCTCTTAAGAGGGGAACAGGAAGGCAAGAAATCAATTGGCCTGCATCAGGACGATCAATGATGAAACTTCGGTGTCATTAAGTGTGCAGCTTGCTTTTAGCCATCAGATTATGAATTCGGAATAAGGCCATGCTTAAAAGCACATCAGAGTGGAAAAACAATTGGTATAGTCAATATTTATAAGCCTACTAATGTATTTATTTCCTCAAATATTTCATCCCTCAGTTTCTAAAGTTGCTGAACCTTTTCTGGACTATATCATAAACAACACATTCACCGTTAATCTGAAGAACCATCTCACCAAAGAAGTGGTTCTATACAAGTGGTTCTGTATAGAACATTTTTGAAAATGGTTCTATATAGCACCAACAAGGGTTAATCTCTTGTATACAAGCTTGATGTTGTAACAACAAAAGAACCCTTTTTGATGCTATATAGAACCAAATACAACACATTCTCCATCAATCTGAAGAACCATTTCACCAAAGAACCATCTAAGCATGCAAGTTGTTCTAAATATAACCTTATTGAAAATGGTTCTGTATAGAACCAACAAGTGTTAATCTCTTGTATACAAGCTGCTTGTCATAGCAATAGAAGAACGCTTTTTGGTGCTATATAGAACCATATACAACACATTCTCCATCAATCTGAAGAACCATTTCACCAAAGAACCATCTAAGCATGCAAGTGGTTATATACAGAACCTTTTTGAAAATGGTTCCATATAGCACCAACAATGGTTAATCTCTTACATTCAAGCTTGATGTTGTAACAGTGGAACCATATACAACACATTCTCCATTTCACTTTGCAGTACTGCATTAATATTATTAGTGTGCACTGAATTTACACAATTAAAATTGTGTCCATCAGTTGCATTAAACAAAGTTGCATCTTCTAAGAAGACTATCAGCCATCAAGGATATGAGAAGGCACACCTGGAAAACAAGTCAAGCTTACAGAAAGAATAGGGTGGAGTTTTTATTGCTGCAGTGACCTTTCTACATGTTTGTCCATAACACCCTTACATGTGACTCCACACATATGACCGTCAACATATTACTGTATACATTAACTGGTGGGCTACAGATAAGCACTGTAAAGATAAAGCAAACCCACTGAATTGCAGGCACTTTGGAATGTTAAACAACCTACACATACACAGTGTAAAAAAAAAAGTGTGTTTCGGACGTGCTTTGCTGAACGATTGCGTGGTTGGAGGGTCATCAAGCCCACGTTTGGCTACGCTGAGCTTTCCTAAAGTCTGGAGAGACGGAGAGATTGCGCTTTTGAAGAAAAGAGATGAGGAGACAATCTGTTATCAGTGATCTCAATGTAACTGAACAGAGGGAAGAGGGAACATCTGTCCAAGTCAAAGAGGACTGGACGTGTTTACAACAGCCCAGTTCTCAGATCTGTCCACCCATAATCTCCCATACTGGACAGCCAAACTGAAAAGGACATGTTAATTATGTCTGTTCTGTATGTATGTCCAAAAGTATCTAGATAGCCTTTGTAATGAGTGATTCAGGGTACTTCAAGGCTGCTGACGGAGCTTGTAGACTCTTAACAAAGATGGTTCTTCAAGTGTTCTTTAGTAAAGATAATGGTTCTCAATAGACCCATGAACACTCAAAGAACTTTGCATACTTAAGGTGAAATCTTTCTGAAAATGGGTCCATATAGCACATGAAAGGGTTCTTCTAAGCTTGACATCATAACAGAGGAACCTTGTGGGGCTGTATCATATACAAGCATGCAAGTGGTTTTATACTGAATCTTTTTCTGAAAATGGTTCTATGTAGCACCAACAAGGGTTAATCTATTGTATACAAAAGAACCCTTTTTGGTGCTATATAGAACCATATACAACACATTATCAAGCAATCTGAAGAGCCATTTCACCAAAGAACCATTTAAGCATGCAAATGATTCTTTGAGTGTTCATGGTTCGATATAGAAACGAGTGTATAACCTCCATAAAAGAGATTGGAGACACAGCATATAAGCCCAAGGTCACCATACCCCTTGACGTTTTCTAAATAAATTTAAATTTTTATCATTTTTAATGTAGAAACCGTGTCATTCAGATGGTTTGGTGTGAAATGGTAAGATTTCTTTACAGTGGTGGTGATAAAACCAGGGGTTGCCATGACTACAGCACAAATATAGACATTTTATTTACTATCCAAAACGTGTCTTCTGAGTTTTATTGTTGATGATGGTAAAATAGCGAAAAATCTGAAAATAACATTTCTTTGGGGACTACTTTGCCTCACTATGCCCTGCATGTATCCCTCCACCATGAATGAATTTTAGGCCAAAGCCTTCTTAAATCTATCTTAAAACAATTTCTCAGACATCAGGCAGTGTATTCATAACCATTTAATGTAATAACTTTCTGTCAGGTAGCTTTTAGAGGTGGACGTCTGGTTCCTATCACCACCACTGTGAACAATTCTGACTTTGCAGCATTTCACACCAAACCACTCTGAATGACATCTTAACCCATTAATTATGCAGATATTTTGACCATCTTTTGGACAGAGGGAGCCGAATGAGGCTTCATTTGATGAGATTTTCATGACCCCCCCATGAGAACTGGACGTGTTTACAAGAATAACAGCCCAGTTCTGAGGTTTATCCGGCCATAATCTCCCACAGTGGATGATTTCTGAGGCTGGGCTGCAAAGGACTTGCTAATTATTTTGTCAAATGCGTCACATCCACTCTGCCATAGCACTGCAGGGGTGCATTATTACCATGCAGTGAATTTACAGGATTAAAATTGTGTCAGTCGGTTGCATCAACACAATATAATCAGCTATAACGCACTGCAGGCTATAACGAGGCAGATGCAGAGCTCACATTTCACTTTCTCTATCCGGCTCGACCAAAACAAGCTCGTATGGCGAGCAAACGTGACCGTCACGTTCTCTCGCCCGCCCGCATTTCCGGTGACTCCAGGCTACACATACGGTAGCACGACTTTAAAAAAAGCGCTCTACAAACGTGACCGCCGAGCTCTTATTATTTTTTTAAGTGCGACTGTCGTCTGTTACACGGGACTGCGGAGAGGAGCCGCTGAGCCGGGGCGGGAACTGTGTCAGGAGTCCATGTGAGTCGGCGGTCAGGTGGCTGGCAGCTCGAGCGAGAGCTGCGGGCGCGCGGCCAGGGGAGGGGCGGGAGCATAGCGCGCGCGGGGGCTGGCTGTTTCAGAGCTAGGCTGAAGCAAGCGGCCACGTGAGCTCCGGGGCGTCTCCAAGAGCGACGCATGATCTGAGATGATGGAGGAGTTCAGGGAAGGTGGAGTGGAGGAGGAGGAGAAAGAGGAGGGGGGTTGAGGGGTGAAGGGAAAACATGTGAGTAATGAGACGTTTCCGAGTTTACTTCCAAAGAAGAGGCGCGGGCTGCTTTCGAACATTTTGTTCTTCCCGAACTGGGACGGAGAAAATGATGTTTTCATCCCCTCTGTTCCAGATATCGGCCTCGCCCTTACAAATGGTAGAACATTCCGGAGCACATGCAGGCTCTCACTACAATACAGCCAGCGTGCAGCGTGTTCCCAGAAGAACTGCGTGTTAAAAATATCCGGATGCCTATTATTCTCTTCTCTCTCTCTCTCTGAGTCACTTTTTAATTATACCTAAATATCTCTCTCTCACACTTACTCTCAGAGACACAGTGACTGTTAAAAATACTCTGAGTAGCCAGTTTATCAGAAAGACCTACTTTTTTGCCTATTCTCACTGGCCATTTTATTGGACACATCTACATTGTGCCTATTCTCACAGGCCATTTTATTAGAAACACCTACCCTGTACTCACCCTAACAGGCCATTTCATCAGAAACACCTACTCTGTGCCTACACCCACTGGCCACTTTATCAGAAACACCTATCTTGTGCCTACGCTCACTGTCCATTTTTACTGGAAACACCTACTTTGGCCTATGCTCACTGGCCATTTTATTGGAAATACCTACCTTGTGCCTATGCTCGCTGGTCAATTTGTCAGAAACACCTTTAATATGCCTATGCCCACTGGCCACTTTATCAAAAACACCTACGTTGTGCCTGTTCTCACTGGCCATTTTATCAGAAACACCCACCTTGAGCCTACCCCCACTCTGGCCACTTTATCAGAATGGACTTTGTAGGTTTACAGTTACAGACTGTAGACCATCTGTTACTGCACAGCAAATTTGCTGGGTTTTTGACACACTATGTACAGTACTTAAACATCTCTCTTTCTTTCTGTCTCCCTTACTCTCCCCCCTCAAACACCACAGGAGGAAGTGTTATTTTATATGCCAGCTCAACAGGCAGCGCCAGCCCCAGCCCGGGAAGCCCTTCAAGTGGCTATCAGACTCAGTCGCCCTCCTCTCACTCGCAACCTTCTTCGCCAGAGGAGGTCTCCTTAACTGAAATCGGCGCTCTCAAGCAGAGAGGGTCCAGCAGCAATGCCAATGCAGCGACTGGCACTCCACCCTCGCCCAAGCTGGTCTTCCAGTTCCCTGAAGTGAGCAGCACGCCTGCAGTCAACTCCATCAGCTCGCCTGTGACCACGACAGGCCAGAGTTCATACTCTCATCCACTGGTGGGCAAGAGGCCATGTGGGTTTACTGGAACTTTCACAAGTAAGTAAGACCTTAAAGCGATAGTTTGGCCAAAAATAGTCCGGAATGATGTTTCTGGTCCTAAATGACGTGCTGTTATCTGTAAACATGGACAAAAGCACAGCCTCAGGGTGTGCTAAAGTAGATTAGCATAGCTAAAACAGTAGTAGAAGCCTACTGCTAAAATACTTTAGTCCATGTGTATAGATAACAGTGTATTACACCCCGGATAGCAGCATATATCAGTCAGCTGGATTGATAAGGTCGGCACCCTGCTGACTGTTGCCGCTTCTGGTCCACCCTCGGACCACCCAGATTATTGTCCTGTTTACAAGGTCTAGTTATTGTATTAGTTAACTGTTTGGTTTTTAATTTCTTCAAAGAGATTTTGTGACTTTTATATTGGAAAATGAACTAAGACAAATATTACAAACTCTGAGTGAAAAAAATGACTAGACCTAATAATTTATTTTGTTAAAAATGTTGTTTCTGACACTGTGTTGAATGTTAAAATGATTTACTAGACTAATTTACAAAGGATAGCTAAAGAAAGGAATGGAGGGGAAAATAAACGCTCAAAAAGTGGCCTTTGTCTAATAGTCTCCTTAACCACCAGTGGGCCGCCCAAAAAACGCTGCCATTAGCGCCACTAGCGGGCCAACAGTAGCCCACACTCTTCTTATGATCTGGGAAAGTGTCCTAAACCACATAATCAAGTCTGTCTGAGATTACTAAATTATGGTTTAGGCATGCAGTTAGCACTATGCTAACCTGATTTACATAAGCTTCCATTACTTGTTAGCTAGCTCCAGTGCTAAACCTAAGAAGCAAACTTGAGAATATATACATCTTGGCTTATTATATTTGGGGTAAGGGGTGTAAATTTGATTTAAAGACTTCTTTCATATTTGCATTTTTTGTTTTATATCATTAGCAGAGAACACTCTCTCTTTCTATCATTCTTGCTAATCAGAGGCTAAAGAGCTCAGTCATTGTGTGTAGCATGAATAAAAGATGTAAGTGCTGCTTGCACAGGAGTGACAATGCAGTCTTCATTATTGGAGACTCTTCCTTGTTGATCCTTACTCTCATAAACATTTGTATCAGTTTCATAGTGAATAATTCATAGTAGCTACTGAATAATTAAGATAAAACACTGAACCACAAGCCTGGACAGCAAGGAATTAACGCTCTGTTTTGGGTTGTGCTCTGTTTGTGTGATCAGAAACAGGTGGCATGGTGCTTCTGTGCAAAGTCTGCGGTGATATTGCGTCTGGGTTCCACTATGGAGTCCATGCATGTGAAGGATGTAAGGTAAGGACTATAAGGACCTTTTTTATTTGAACAGTAGATTTTAAACACTGAGAAAAAGTGAATTTACTTGCGTATTGTAGTTATAGATGAGTTAAATATATTATACCAACACAGTTATTGCCAAAAATATGTAAGCTGTGCTGATATGTCTTATTCACATAGTAATGATGTACACATTTAAATCAAGTTAATTCAGTACATCTTTTTTAAGTGTACTGTGAAATTCTAAGATTACTCCACCTAGTTATTCTGATCAATTGGATAGATAGCGGATAAGGAGTGAGCGATATGGCAAAGATATTGTATCACAATACTTCAAGACATAATGCACAATATTTCACTACAATATCATTTTATCACATTATTTTGGTTTTCTGAGGTTTAATAAGTTGGAACTGACACAATAGAGCCTGACACATATTAAAACATATAATAATAATAGTAATAATCCTACATATACAATGATTTTTATTCAGTGTATTACAAATTGCACTGCTCTATATATAATTAAAATATCTAATAATGCTCACAGTTATGTAGTTTTTAAGTACTGACGATGTCCACGATATGCCAAGAAAAGCGGATTGTGACATAATTTGTCACAATAACGATAACATATTGTCATATTGCCCACCCAAAATGGCTGCTACACTCTTAAAAATAAGCAACTAAAAAGGGTTTTGTGGGATGATGCCATAGATTACCACTTTTTTTTCTCTAAAGAAGTTTAATGATCCTTCACATTATCTAAGGGTTCTATTCTAATTTCTAAGACCATATATCCAAGCCAAGATTACTTTTGTGCATCTTTATTTTTAAGAGCGTAGTCATCTTTGACGTTACACCCAGCTATGTGTTCATGCTGACCTCTCCTTCTTCTCCTCAGGGGTTCTTCAGGCGCAGCATCCAGCAGAACATCCACTATAAGATGTGCGTGAAGAACGAGAACTGCTTGATCATGAGGATGAACCGTAACCGATGCCAGCACTGTCGCTTTAAGAAGTGTCTCTCTGTGGGCATGTCCAGAGATGGTAAGATCTTCCATCTCCAGAACAGGAACGTTATAGAAGAAGAAGAAATGGTCACGCGTTCTTAAAGGTGCCAGAAAGGGTTCTTTGGAATGATGTTATGGAACAACCACTTTCTGTTTTGAAACCGAGATGTGAATGGAAAGGTTCTACACAGATGTTTCTTCAGTAAAGAAAATGGTTCAACATAGAACCATGAACACTCAAAGAACCCTTTACGTGATTAAAGGGTTCTTTGCATCCTGAAAGTGTTCTTCAGCTTGATGGAGAATGTGCTGTAGATAGCACCAAAAAAGTGGAACAATAGAAGAAACATTTTTGGGGCTATATAGAACCCTTTTCAAAAAGGTTTTGTATAGAACCATATGCAGCGCATTCTCCATCAAGTTGAAGAACCCTTTCATGATGCAAAGAATGAGTTTTCATGGTTCTATTTAGAACCATTTTCTTTACTAAAGAACTCTTGAAGAACCTTCCTTTTTAAGTGTGTATACAAATCAAAGTTCTTTTCCTAGAACCTTACACCCAAGCCTAGAACCATTAAGCAATGTTTTAGCATTGTAATGTAAGTTAATGTAATGACATTTTATTCCAAGTAATTTGGGATCATTTATATTGGTCCATTTGTCATGCAGTCTTGAAAAAGGGCCACCAATGGTTCTTTATGGGAGAACCACATTTAGTTCATGTTTGAAATAGCTGTTTGAGTGTGAACAATTTTCTAAAGGTTCTATACCAGTTCCTAGATGCTTTACATTATGTGGAGGTTCTTTCAACTTTACAAAGGTTCTTTGCCTTTACATGTCTCATTTACAAAGGAGCTCTCCATTGAAAGGCTTCCTAGGGAACCAAAAGCGGTTCTTCTACATCATCATGCAAAGAACCCTTTATGGCAACAACATTAACGCATAATATTGCACTTTATTAATGCATTAACGTCTGTTTTATTAGATTTCTTTGAAAGTTTGTTCACTGCTATGATTCTGATCTGTATTTAAGAAGGAAAGAGATTTCATGCTCAGACTTACATAATTTTGTCAAGAATTTAATACATTATAAAAGTACAATAATACAGTAAATAAACTGAAGGATAACATTCTATTAATGCAATACGATGTTTTATTCAAATTGAGATCACTAAATCAATACGGTGCTTCACTTTTTCAGTGTAGAAAGAGGTTTAGTGTTTACTTCTACTCTTTCTAACCACACACATCTTTTTTTAGGCGAATGTAGATGCTCTTTATGTTTGTAAATGAAGACCCTTGGACTGAGGGGGGATTACTCAGCTCAGTGTAGTTTGCATATGGCAAAGTCCAACACTAAAAGTGCTCTGCTTGCAGAATTCACCACAAAATACTGCTACACTTTTTCTGAATGGCTAGCAGTCGGCTTTTGACTTGAACGTACAGTTCTAGGAAAAGTTTAGCTTTAAAAAGGTTCTCCAAACTTCCAAATTTCATTTACAAAAGTGGTTCTACTATGAACCCTTTTTGGCACCTTTGTAGAGTATAAAGACTGTCAGACCGTTCAGTCCGCGGTCCGTACAACCCATAAGTGGAAACTGCAGAGCTGCAAAAACGGCCCATTGTTTTTCTGATGTCAAAAACACCAACTCTGTTTAGCTTACAGCAGTTTAGCTCTGCCCATTCACGCTGAAATTATAAGGAGTGTTTCAGCCTAGGCTGCTTTTTGAATGAGGCAGGATACAGGGCAACCAATCAGGACATAGATCATTTCCGTAGGTCAGTCTTAAAGGCACAGTAACACCCTTTTCAAGATAGAAGATGAAAAAATGGCATTTTCTGGCAAATAAAGTCACACACAAAAAATAAGCACAAAGTTTGTGCAACCCTAGACAAATTCAATGTTGTGTTGATTTTCTACGTGTGAATAAGTTAACACATCCCCTACAGATAACACACTTCTCCATATTTTATTGCACAACTACTGTTTTTTACTGAATTTAACATATTGGGAGAAAAAAAATTAAACATAAAATGTGGTCTGCGCAAAAGTTACGGCACATTTTATTCTTTGTGTTAAATAAATATGTGAAATAAATACAAATTGTACATTAAATGTGCAGAAAAATATGAAGTATGTACCCCTATTGCAGGCCATATATCATCAAACAGGGAAAATGGGCTTCTGATCAACTAACAGCAGCGCTACTATAAAGCTTCTTCCACCTATAGCACTTCCTCCACTTTGTTGCCCCACATTCACTCTCCTTTCTTCTTCTTTCTTTTTTTTATTTTTCTGTTTCCTACCGTTGCACCTGTAGACACTGATTTATTACAGTGGGCACTCAGAAGTCCCACAAGTCATCATTCAAGCCGCAAACTGTGGAGAATTGTCCTTATTTTGGGAATTGGGAGCGCGCAGAGTGCCCCGTGCCGTGCCGCACACAACCCCCGCAGCTTGCGCTAACGTGTTTTCAGGACTTCATTTCCTCCACCTTGTAGAATTAATTAAGAAGCGAGAACAAGCGCTAAATTAATGAACAACAGATCACAGACTGTGAAAGCCATTATTTTGGTATAAAATGAAATGAGCATCTGAAGTTTTCCTGACTGTGTCCTCCAGTATTTGCTGCCCCACTAGGACACCGCAGTCTCCAGAGAGCACTGCGAAGTGTGCTGGTAATAAATCATTTTTTTTCTGGAGCTGCAGTACATATTTAGGTGACCTAAAAAGCTGGAAAGCAAAATGACATGCACCATAATTTATCAACATCACCTACTCGCGTGCCCTTGTTTTCCACTGCCCACTCCTACTGAACCTGTGATTACAGCTTTTACAGGTATTTTTAGTGTAGAAAAGCACTTTATTCATGATTTTACTGCAGTATGTGCACATTTTATCTTGACTAATCCTGTTCCCCTAGCAATCGCTCACCTATTGCAACCCAGTGGGTGCTCTTAGGTCTCTGAGCAACGAGCTAAGATTCCTCTCATGCTGCTTTTAAAGCTGACCCTTTACCTCGTAAACCTGTTTCCCTTCCCAGGTTTGCAGTACTGGTTCCCTAATCCCTTATCCTGATAACCGTCACTCTGCAACCAAAACATCCTGCGTTGCCACGACACATGACACGCCCTCTAGCACACATTCACCTCTGTGTTCACCTCAGTCAGTTTGTTAAAAGATTATTTTCCATTTATAAAGCCGTACAGTTTGGTGTAGCAATATGAGTGGACAAAATTAGCTTCATCACAATGTATTTATTTTAATTTAGTGGCATTATTTTCATCATGTGAAGGGTAAAAATGCACTGAACAAGAAAATCAAGTGAACACAGTTTCTGATTTTCATCGCAGTCGTCCGGTGAAGGCTAGAGATAATGTATATATCACTGCTGTCGGAATAAAATCTCATGTCTTCTCTTACAGGAGAAGGAAGAACACACTTTAGTTTTAATGAAAGTCAATGGAAGGTTTTTTTCCGAAAGCAGTGACATGTATACTACTGTCTAGAAGTCTTAGGTGCCAAATTATTCATCTTATCTTAGGTACCTAACTTTTAATCTAGATAGTATGTGTACTAACAGCCTCTACACTTCTAGGAAGGCTTTAAACTAGATGTTGGAACATTGCAGTGAGGATCTGATTGAGCATTAGTGAGGTCAGGTACTGATGTAGGATGGTCAGTTCTGGATCACTCCAACTCATCCCAAAGATATTGGATGGAGCTCCATCACTCCAGAGAACGGTGAATGGAGAAGTTCCACTGCTCCACAGCCCAATGCTGGGGGGCTTTATACCCCTCTAGCCCATGCTTGCTGTTGGCCATGGTGACCTCTCACGCACAGCTACTCCAGAGCATCCCATTCTATTGGTCGATGCTTCTCTATGGAGATGATAAAAGCTGTGTGTGCTCTTTAAAGTAGCCAGGTTGACTAATTAGAGGGTCTGTTTGGATATTTTTGTGCATGTAGTGCATTTTTTACCAACCTATATTGCAGTTACTTCCTGGAATCTTTCCCGGCATAATCCAGAATGAGACATTTCTCAATTTAAAAAGAAAAATGCTTATCTGTAAGAATGCAACAGTGAAGTCTACAGTGAAGTCATTTCTAATACCTACATGAAGTGGTCACACACCATTGAAATGCAGATATTTTCTTTGTTTGCAGTTTGAAGTACATTATTAAAGTTCTCTGTCTGAAACATCTATCCACTTTATTCTAGTTAGCACCACTCTTCCATGTCAATCACGCTATCATTAGCTGTTTTCCACAGTTGGCTCATTTAGCTCTTCACCGCAGGTCGTCCTCTCGTGACCCTTCACCTCTTGGTGATACTCGTTTCTCTGTCCATCACCCTGTTGCTCGTCTTCCTCACTGACATCACCTCTGCTCTTACTGACCCAGTGACCCACTTCCCCGCAGGAGAGAGAGAGAGAGAGAGAAAGGAGGGGGAGATGTAGCATACAGTAGCAGGATCCATAAATAGCACTGCCAGTGGAGGTGAAGCGATGGAGACGGAGCAGTGGGGGATGGGTAAAAGGAGATGTATTCTCCACCATGATTTCAGACAAATGTGGCCTCGTCTTATTCTGTTACTTACTATTTTATGTTATTATGCAATAAGTGGAGTGATACTTTCAGTGGGTTTAGTATTGTGCCCTACATGCCATTCAGTACACGGTTAAAGGACCTACATTCTACATTTTTCCTGTGTATTGTTTTCCCAAGAGGTCCTTTATAACCACTATAAGGGATTTATGTCCCAAAAACAGTCATAATTCAGTCATCAGGCCTCTTATTATCACTTAGATTTATGTTACTGTGCCTTTAAGACTGATACATGTAAATTAGCTCTGTTCTGATTGGCTCTGTATTGTTCCTCATTCAAAATGCATCCAGGCTGAAACATTCAGTGTGAATCGGCAGGGCAGAACTGCTATATGCTCAATAGGCATGGGTTTTTGTGACATCACAAACACAATGACTTATATTTTATATACATAAATATAACAGATCCTAAACTGTTCTGTGAAAAATCTGCAATTGTTATAAAATCTTTGTTTAGGTTCTTCGTACTCACAATTCCACTAAAATGTTCTTTAAAATACCTTCTTTCAAAGAACCCTTTTTTAAGAGCGTACATTAGACAGTATAAGCTTTATTTATGTGTAAAAATTCCAGCTTGTATGACAGTGGAAGCTCGTGCATGCACTGCCCTTCAACATTTTAGAGACATCCAGTTTTTCAAGTTTTTTTTGTTTATTCCAAGTAGCTTGTTTTCTTTACTGGTTTACAATAACCTTCCTTGTTAAACCCTACAGAGCTTATTAAAAGAAAAATGATATCACACAGGTAAATATTTTTGGTAATAGACAGTGCTGCCTTAGGAATAAAACCAAGCCTCACCCATGTTAGGCTCTTGCTGTGATGTCAGCACTCAGATCTTTCAGGTGTGTGAATCATGGGCCAAAAGAGTTTCAGTAGGTGTTTTTCGACAATAGTTTGGAAATATCATTTTGCAGAAAAGTTGCTTTGTCATTAACTTAACCTTTTTGAGTATTTTCTTACTTATTATTAAAATATCTTAAAAAACAAAACTTTTAATGGCCAGTGTGCGAGATCAGACATGTTTATAATAGCTAATTGTGAATAATACAGTTAATTTAGGAATGCATGACAGTATCAGAATCCTATCAGTATCAGCGAGTAATGGCGTAGAAAAAATATTAGACTGCTTGTTTAGATTCAACTGATATTTCGAACAGATATTTAATAACATATTAATTGCACTTCGGAAGAGCAGAACCTTTAGGTGTTGCTGGGTTACTGCTGAGCTATTTTGGCCTTGGCAGACAATTCCCAAATTGGACCAAAACAAAATGCATAATAGCTAATAGTTATTTTATGACGTTTACTTACATAAAGTAATTTTCTCTTTCCCTTCCTCTCCCAGCTGTGCGTTTTGGGCGCATCCCTAAGCGGGAGAAGCAGCGGCTACTGGACGAGATGCAGAGCTACATGAACAGCCTTAACGAATCGGCGTCCATGGACATCGACTCGACCACGCCCACCGAGGCCCCACCCAGTCCCCGAGAGGGCCAGTCCGAGGAGGCCATCGGTGCTGTGTCCCAGGCTTATCGCAACATCTTTGTCAATGGGGAGGAGAAACTGGTGAAGATAAATGATAACAGCAACACCATTAACAACAACAATAACAACAACAGCAATCCCTCCTCGTTCCGAAACAGTCAGCCTCAGGACTCTGGATACGCTCAGCCTCATTCCCACACCCCGGTCGCTCCGCAGCCGCACCCTGCCCACTCCGCATTGACGGCAAACTACGAAACCCAGACTCGATGCCCGGTTGTTCATCATGACAACATCCCAACAACCCAAACCATCGACAACAGCTGCTATAGTTACCCACAGCCATCCAGTCAGAGCCAAGGAAGTCCGCCTTCTCAGAGCTACCCAGCCAATAACAACAGCTATCCTGGCGCTGAGACCAAGGGTCAAACGTCCTGTCCGTGGAGACTGGCTGCTGGAGCTAAAGTTCTGGTGTGTGTTTATATGTGTATTAAACACTGAGGGGTGGATTAAGCCTTAGAAGTAGGGCTGGGCAATATGATGATATTTTATCATTATCGTGATAAATTATGTCACAATATGGTTTTCTGAGCATATCGTGGATGTCATCAGTGCTTAAATAACACTGACTAAATTACTTATGTTTCATTACAAAGTGAGCATAATTAAACCTGTTAAATTAGATTTAGTGCAGTGCAGTTTGTAAAACATTGAATAAAAATCATTGTAGTTGCAGACTTATAATTATTATTATTATTATTATTATTTGTATTTTTCTGTTCCATCTTTAAATCTTACAGAAACGTAATATCATGATGCAAATCATGTATCGTGAAGTATCATGATACAATGTTTTTCCATATTGGGCCAACCCTACTAAAATGTCTGTTATCATATTTGCCACATTTTTCTAATTTCCAGCAAAACAAACAGACTGAATGTAGAATGTTAACAGAATAACAGTAAAATTCATTACATAACTAAAAATGTTATTAATTGTGTGTAACTACACTCTTAAGAAAGGGTTGTTTAGTTCTGTTTAGAATATTGAGTTCTGTACAGAACCATTTTATGCTTAAAGGTTTCTTTGCATGGTGAAATGGTTCTTTAAATTGATGGACAATGTGTTGTATATGGTTCTATACAGCACCAAAATGGGTTCTGCTATTGTTACAAGCTTGACACCCTTTTTGATGCTATGTATCACCATTTCACCATGCAAAAAAACATTTAAGGATAAAATGGTTCTATATCGAACGTACTGTACTAAAGAGAAGAACCACCTTTTTATGTGTTTAATCTTGGACTACATGCTATTTAGTCTAGGCTTAAACTAGGTCTGGGAAACCAGCCATTAGTCACCCAGTTACATCAGAATTGAACTTGACCATCTCCTCTCTCTGTCCTCCAGGCGTGTCCTCTCAACGCATGTCCCGTGTCTCCAGCTGGTCACTCCAGTCAGCAGGTTTGGGAGGCGTTCTCACAGTGCTTCACTCCTGCAGTTAAAGAAGTGGTGGAGTTCGCCAAGAGCATCCCCGGCTTCCAGGCTCTCAGCCAGCACGATCAGGTCATGCTGCTCAAGGCAGGGACCTTCCAGGTAAGGGGCCTTATAATCCACTGATAGAACTTTTTACCCAACAGATAAGCAGGTGGTGAAAGTCTTAATATGCTGAAAAGGCAGTTTTGTGTCTTAGCTTTGAAGGTGCCACCCACAGCTCTTCAAGTATTGAAAAAAAATTGCAGTCTACCCTCATGGGCTGTTTTATCTGAAAAAACCTACCGTGTAGGTGCACTTTGTAGGTCTACGATGGACTGTAGCCCATCTGTTGCTAGAACAGATACGCCTGTAGAATTAGTGCAACACCCATTGATATTCCACTGTCGGGTTATTATCACTAGGAAAAGTCAGCTACCCAAATAATATCTGATTATTGGTGGTCTTATGGTGGTCTGTTTCCACTGATGGACGGGATAGAGGAGCCTGATGAATTGTGCGGCAACAGATGAGCTACATTCTGTTACTGTACACCTATAAAGTGCACCTGTATGGTAAATGGTGAAGGAGTGTTTATTTTGATCACATATTAAACATAGAGGTATTTTTTCCATAGAAGTGCAGTTAAATGTATCATAATTTCCTAATATAGTTATCTGTGTCGTCTCCAGGTCTTGATGGTGCGGTTCTGCTCGCTGTTTGATGCCAAAGAGCGGACAGTGACGTTCCTGAACGGGCAGAAGTATCCTCTGCCATCTCTTCGGGCACTGGGAATGGGCACTCTACTGGACGCCATGTTTGAGTTCAGCGAGAAGCTGGGCAGCATGGGGCTGGAGCCAGACGAGATGGCGCTGTTCATGGCTGTAGTGCTGGTGTCTGCAGGTGTGTATGCATGTGTTTCTGAGGCTAATTGGCCATGACAATCAAAGTTCTGCTTAGCAGTGAAGAAAAAAAATCTTGTTTTTTGTCTGTCAAATATTATAGCAAATAGTTACAACAGCGTTACGATACAGGACACATTCAGTAACAATAACAACACACCTTATGGTGTTAGCAGATTTTCTTTTTGCATTACTGCTATTACTGAGTGAGCTCAGTTCATACTGGATAAAAATCACTCTACAATAATTAAACTATCACACTATAAAAACTACACACATTGCAGATTCATACTGGATTAAAATGTAATCTTAATGTAAATCTCTCTGTTTTGACAGATCGCTCAGGCATCTCTGACATGGCTGCCGTGGAGCAGCTTCAGGAGGACCTCATCGGTGCTCTTCGGGCCCTGATCACGCGTCGACGGCCGGATGACAGCGCACTCTTCCCCAAACTGCTTCTGCGCCTGCCTGACCTCCGTACTCTCAACAACCTGCACTCCGACAAGCTCCTGGCCTTCCGCATCGACCCCTAGATGGGAAAAGCAGCGAAAACCAGCTCCTGCGTGCAGAACTAAGCTGATACCTTGATAAGGGTAAGCACGCAGTGATGGTGATGCCTGGATCTGACTCTGAAGTCAGAGATAGCTTAAGACAGAAGTGTTGATCCTTAAGTCGAGTTACTTTGGGCACTCCAGACTCGCAATCACCACAACCAGCGAAGACTGCAAGGCAGCATTCCACTTTTACACAAGGGCACCAGACCTGGAGGCGTTGGACTCTTCTAAAGAGAATAATGACTTTTGATGGAAGGGAGATGTCAGAGTCTTCTCCTACAATGTTTCTTCCAATCCTCTCCTGCTCTGGCTCCACCTACTCACCATCATCTGCACCTGTGTCTTGTTTTTTGGACTCAGCAAGAGACTCATAAACTCTTTGAGATGTCTTGCTCATGTAACTTGCATCACTAAGCCATGTTTCCCCCATTCCTTGTTCCTCACGTTCTTCTGGTGGTTCTTGCATTTGGCCTGGATCTTCCTGTGCTTCGACCCTTTCGCCTGACCTTATAATGGTTCATAGATAAGCTACAAAAAACCTAAAGACTCCCTTGCGCTATAGGAGATGACAAATTTCGCAAATGGAACGAGCACCTAGTGGACCCAAAATGTATTACAAGACAAGAATTTAATTAGGAGAGATGCTTTGGTTCCTTTAGAGATGAATTTATTGTCATATCATTTAGCACAAACTCTGGGTCAATATCAGAAATGTTTGCAATCATCAGCAGACTTGCGTGCAGCAATAATTTTCATTCCGCACATTCTGTAAATTGATACACATCATTAAAGAGGTCATAGTAATATTCTGTCAGTCAAATTGTGTACTAAGAAACATGTATTATAGTTGGAATGTTTGCTTCATTGTTTCTTATCACTGAATACGACGGTATGATCTTTGTATGGTTTTAACAGGGGCTGTTTTTTTTTGTACTAGGCACTAATTGTGCATCAAGGAATGAGTTCTCATGCTGTACATATTGTATCTACGTTATTTACAACTACTCTAAATGAGTACACCCTAGTTTGTGATATGATATGCAGTTGTAAAATTGCAAAGGAACCCTCATTTTTTTTGGAGGGAGTCTCTTTTGTATGGGAGCTGTATTCTACAAATGTTCTTCCTCCAAATTCAGTATAATTCGACACTAATTCAGTAGGGGTTCTACCTTATCCATACACACCTCCATAGGCATGTACAGTGTTAAACTGGCACACATGCGGTCTATCTTTTCATCTCGGGTCAACTAAACCTTACTTAGTGTTCAGCTCACCTTCCACTCAGATGTAAAATGTATATTTTGTAAATGTGTTATGTTTATCATCTTCCATAGAAATGAAATATGATATTAAACAAGATCACATCATGGGTGGTTTTGTCTTCCTGTGTCTGACTGCATATTTCAGCACCCTGCCTAATCCTGTTGTGGCTCGCCATGCTCAGTTGTTCTGAATGCCAGCGGCGAACAGTGGTAACCTGGCAACCGCTACTTGCTGCTCATGCATTGGAAAATTAGCAGCAGCGGAAAACTGAAAGTAGTGATAAGTATCTAATATCTGGGTGGTGGGATTGGAAAAAGCACAGTACAAGCAGTGCCACTGAATTCTGTTTATATAATATGGCCAAAAATATCCAGACAGACCTTTAAAGTAGCCAGATCCACTAATTAAAGAGCATACACAGCTTGTATAATATCCATAGAAAAGCATTGACCAATAGAAAGGGATGTTCTGGAGTAGCGGTGCACGAGAGATCAAAGTGGCCAACGGCAAGTGTGAGCTACAGGGGTATAAAACTCCATCCAACACCTTTGGGATGGTTTGGAGTGATCTAGAACTGACCATCTAACATCAGTACCTGACCTTGTTAATGCTCAATCAAATTCTCATAGCAATGTTCAACATCTAGTGTAAAGCCTTCCCAAAAAAGTAGAGGCTGTTACTGCAGCACAAACTCACTATTAACACACTTCATTTCAGATGAAACACTGGCTTTTATAGACTTCTGGACATATAGTGGCTGTCACTATCAATTATATTAATAATCAAATAATCTGACAATTAATTAAGGACTATAAACAGTAAACACAGCCTGATGCTTAAAACACTTCATTATTTACAATAAACTTAATTAAACTTTATCAGCCCGCAGCTTCACTGAATTCAGTTTCACTGCATTTGGCTTCCTGGAACCTCTGAACTGGACGTGCTGGATGCTGACGCACATTTGCTACACCTAAAAACGAACACTAGATGCGTGAAGTTTAGAAGTGGCTCCTCCCGTTGACCTCATATGACCGGCTTTATAAGTCATGCTGATCCTCTGATGTCCTTAAACTGGCAGGGGTCCAGACCTGAGGCCATGGAGGCTCAGTCATTGTGAAATTCTGGCTTGATCTAAGTGAACTGATCCAAGTGCGCCCCACTCTGGTGGCTGTCATTATTGCAAAATTATAGCACTTTTTGCATAACTGCTTCTGTTATTAACCACTTAAAATCCCAGGCTCATTACATACAAAGGCTTATAATTGAGTAACTACAGGGACTTTTGTAATAAAACTTTGGGCCCCGGCAATTTATGGGGTTAAAAGTAGATATATCTGTGTCTCCCTTTGTATAGGTGTTTCACTCCACCTTGCTAACACAAAAAATCTCAATTTATTAAAGCTAGCATATGTCTTGTAGAAACCAGTATTGTGATAATTTCCCAGTAATGTAATAAAAAGCAACACAGTGCTGCTTATACTTTTAACAGAGTGAAATACGGCAGATTTTAAAGCAAAAAAGATAAACAGGAATTAGAAGCACACTGTAAAACAGAATAATTGCGCTTATTTTTTTTTTTACTGATATTACGTCTAAAAGTGAATTTATTGTCCAGCCAAATGGTACTTATATTTAGTCTTTCAATACTGGATCTCTTCAGGGTAGCAACATTGAAAGCATTAAAATCGATGGTAGATGTTCTGGAAAAAAACATAATGCATTTTTGTCCACATTTAAAACAAATTTGTGGATGCACAAAGCAGCTCGTAGGGCGTTTGTAGGTTGCAGTATTTCCATTTGCTGCTTGTTCAGAAGTGGCACAATATGAAATAATGTCATCTGCACAGATGCACTTTGCAGTTTGCAAAAATCCTTTATAAATTAATTGAATAAGACTGGCCCCAGGACTGAACCTTATGGAACACCCTTAATTATTGGTTGTAAATCTGACTTAAGCAGTTGCACTGCAACAAAGTGCTGCTTATGCTTCCAGGAAAGTGAGATATGGCAGAATTTAAAGCACAAATAGATAAACATAAGCCAGAGGTACACTGTAAAACATAACAATTGCACATTTTTTGGATTACTTTACTAATTTGTTAAATTACTACTACAAATCTAGTAACATATACTATTTCTTGCATACTATTTCTTAGCTTTTTAGGTAAATTAGTCAAGATCAGTTCATTTGGATCAGTCCTACAGACAAAAGAGTCTTTTGCCCAAAAAGCTTCCTAGCATTCTTAGTGGTTTTGGTGGTTCAAACTGGCCGAGCTATTCTTAAGTTATAGAAGTGAGTCATAAAACTTTGGGCTCTGGCCATTTAAGGGGTTAATTAACTCTTAATTTTCAAATTTCTTAAATATAATTCTCTTTGCAAAATGTATATTAGTTTCAGAGCATACTTTTATGTCAAATGCAAAGTTTGAAGAAGAATGGAAAACATTCATTAAGCTATTAGAGTCCTCAGAAATGGTTGATTATAGTCTTATCTGAGCTGTTTTCTCAGTACTCAACAAAACAGTCCATTTAATAATTAATATAATTAATATAATATAATGTTACTTTAATTGATGTTAATATATCACACAAGGAAGAGTGTTTGATTCAAGTTAATCTAACTAATTCAAGATTAAACAGAATTTGTAAATGTAGAGCACTGCAGTTCAATGGGCACCATTTATAATGGCTGGACTGTCTGAGCTGATCTTGCTCACTCCAGAAGTGTAAATCACTGAAAATTATAACTATAACTGTTATACTGTTCTTTAAGCTGGAACCTGTTATGTAACTTAATTTTTCAAGGCAATAAGTTTGCATGATTTTTTTAAGCAAAGTAAAACTAATTTAAGTTTACAGTGCAGAGGCCACATTCTGCACAAAGGTATTCCTAGGCCAGTTAGCCAGCAGCGCTAGCGTATAAAGGTTTTATTCTTGCAAGCACACTGTATACAGACACTGTATGAGTCTGCAGCCTATTGTTCATTTACTTGCCCTGTCTCGAGGCCACTCTTTATTTTCTCTGGATTGTAGAGGCCATTAAATTAGCTCAAAGCGACAAGGTCATGCCAAGTTCTCATCTACTGTGTAAGCCTGGTGACCTTGTGAGAACTCCACCTCAGAGCCTCTACAGAGAATATCTGAGTCAGTGATATTTGAGCTTTGAGTTGTTCCTCCAGGATGTCACTGAGGAAGACGAAGAAATGAAGATGAGCCTGTGGAGCAGAGCGGCAATGATTTAAAGCCCCTATTATGGAACATCAAATTTTCCTCACTTTTTTGGAATAAAACAGTTTGATACAGTATGTAAACATTGTTAAGGTCCACACAGTGAATACATGAAAACTAAGCTACAAAAACAGCCTGTTTTGAATTCATTGTTTCTGTACTGAAAAACCAAAAAGTTCGTGTATATCAGCCTATTCAGCCGACAGCAGTTTAGCCCCATCCACTCACACTGAAGTTATAAATAATGTTTGAGCCCAAACTGCTTTTTTAGGGACAAGGCACAATTCAGTGCAATCAGAACAGAGTTCATTTACATACATGAGTCTTAAAGGCACAGTAACAAAAACAGCCAGTTTATTTGTAATGGATAAAATGAACCATTAATAATAATTAATAATAATAATAATAATAATAATAATAATACATATAAAAAAAGTAAAAGACATGATGTAATAAACAAGCAAACATATTGGGAGGACAGTTAGTTACAAGTTTTCTTTATATAATACATATTTTAAGCTGGCAAAAGGTGTTATAGAACAGGATGTTTACAATCTCAGGATGAGGAACAGAAGCATGCATTTTTTTTCTAAGGATAATATTGTTTGTTATTTGTTTTTATCAGGAACCAAAAAAGTCAGCCACTGTTCATTCTGTTTGCACTCTATTGGGACTTTTAAAAGCATATCACATCAAAAGCATATCATGTTGGGCTATGCAGACAAAATGGCATATTTCTACATATTGTGACTGCAATCTGCCTTGCAATAAACATACTGGTGAATCCTTCAATAAACATCACAGTATTATAAAAACCTGTAATATTTTGTTCCATATAATCAGTGAACTGGGCTGAATGTAGCTGTGTCAAGAATATGCCGCAGTCATCCTCTGATCAGCTGATTCAGGAACATTAAGAACATCTGGAGGTGGTTTTGCTAATAAAACACATTCCTTTTCGCCTTAATATCTCAACAGGCCCAAAAGTGCTACCTTCTGCGTTGTTTATTGTCCAGGTAGACTGTTCCCACATTTGTTTTCCATCAGCTATTTTAGAAGGAGGTCCAGTGAGACTCACGTTTACCTTAACTGAATTCTGAAATGGATGCCAGAGAATGAATATATGAAAATGAAAATGAAATGAATGAAAGTGACGAGAACTGTACTTTATTTCCTGCTTTAAGTGAGCCCGTAATGTGATTAAAGAGCACAGTATTGTGAAAACCTATATTACAATAATGAATCGCAAATAACATGTTATAAGGGGAAAATTCATGAACAGATTTTAAGTCGGCTTAATAAAGTTGTCGGTATGAAATCCCAGGTGGTCGCAAAGGTGCTGCAAAGCCATTGCTATGGTGTCCTAGGTGATTGCTAAGGGGTTGCTGTATATGTTCTATGTGATATAGCTGAGCTCTGTACTATCTGCTACTTGGTGCCAGTTCCTCTGGCGGCATGGAACATCTGGTTTGTTGAGCATTAGCCTTTAGCTAATTTCTGTTTCCTTCTTTGAAAGACAGATGAGAAACTCTGACCATACATAAGATGCTGGTGCTGCACTGCCCTCTGGTGGAGTATAGAGTTCAGACATATTCTGGTTCATTTGAGAATGTATAACAAGATATACTCAAGAATTCTAATTAACTGTTTGATTTTTGAGATTTTCATGACTCTTCGAATATTTCCTTGTTCTGACTCATGCCTAGTTGTAGGAGGCTCTTCTATTTGACCAGCACACACACTGCATCAGCGTATAGCATGAAACCAGCAAACAGGGGCTCAGTGAATGTGGAGAGAAATGTATGTAAGTGAGTAAAGGTTTGTGTGTCAGAGGAGATGCTGTAGAAGGACAGAGTGCCGGCTGGCAAGTCCAGAT